GATGTGAGAAGATGATCTTATTTCATGGGATGAAGGTGAAAGACATAGGCATTGTGGCACTATGTTAGGCGACTACATAAAGGTTATCTGATATATGACAAAGGGACTGTTCATGTTCTGGGTGAGATATGGAGGGGGACAGCAGGACAGTTCACCATGCTACTTAGAATAGTGTACAATTTAAAATTTATCAATTATGTCAGAAATTTTCCATTTATTTTTGGTCAATGGTTCATTGTAGGTAATAGAAAAAATGCAAAATGAAACTGTAAATAAAAGGGGACTTTTGTAATACCACCTACTGAACATGGATTTTGTGAAAGCAATGAGTTAGTTAGGCCTAGTGCTGCACATATGTAATCACACCTACATTAACTAACCCAGACAGTAAAATTTTGGTATGCTTATTTCTTTCTCTGCTTTTGTATAACAGGCTGCAAACCACTGAATAGCAAGAGAAAGAATTATTTTTATTTTTATCAGTCGTGGGGTTTGAACTCTGGGCCTGGGCACTGTCCCTTTAGCTCTTCAACTCAAGGAGAGTGCTCTATCACTTGAGCCACAGCACCACTTCCAGTTTTCTGGTGGTTAATTGGAGATGAGAGTCTCACAGACTTTCCTGCCCAGGATGGCTTTGAACCATTATCCTCAGATCTCAGCCTCCTGAGTAGCTAGTATTACAGGTGTGAGCCACTGGTGCCCAGCTTACTTACTAATCTTTATACCCCAAGAACACCAATGTCTAGGATAGGAAAGGGAGGAAGAAAAAGTAAACAGTAAAGAAGACATTCTGGATTAGAATATCTTTGACTTTGAGAAAGTATTTGTTGTGAACAAATTACTTCATGTCTTTGGACTCTAGCTTCCTTTCAGAGTTGTGGAGATTCACTAGGAGCACCCTCACAGAGTTAGGTTTGTCCCATGTACTCTTGATATAGGATTATTATTATTTATTTTTTGGGTCCGGTCGTGGGCCTGAACTCTGGGCCTGGGTGCTGTCCCTCAGCTCTTCAGCTCAAGGCTAGCGCTTTACTACTTGAGCCACAGCACCACTTCTGGCTTTTTTTTTCTTCTGCTTATGTGGTGCTGAGGAATCGAACCCTCATGCATGCAAGGCAAGCACTCTACAACTGAGCCCCCTTCCCAGCCCTACTCTTGATATAGGAAGTGATCCTTTTTATCCTTCAGTGAGAAGGATAAGAAGGTTTAACCTGCACTGAGGCTGCTAAATTCCCTGGAGTTGTAGCTGGTCTTTTTTTTTTTGGGTCAGTCATGGGGCTTGAACTCTGGGCTTGGGCGCTGTCCCTGCATT